AGTCCTAAAAGCTGCCTGGGATAAATAAGCATGTTCATCAGCATCAAAGTTACTGCAAAGTAATGAGATGCATTTCTAGCAGAGTTTATTTCTCCTGCTCTGCTGAAATCTTCAACTTGTCTCTGATATTTGTGTATTTCTGTGGCCAGATGGAGCTTAGCTTTCTTTATTCGATTATTTTCTAATTTGTCTTTCTTTTACAGTACTCTCATTTTTATTTTCTTTGTAGTGTTAAGGATGGTAGTCCTCTTACCTTGCTTTTAAGTCAAATGTATGAAGCAGGGCTAGGCAGCTGTTTTAACAGCTTTTTAAGAAATTTGTTAAATGGCACGATTTATCCTCCAAAACTCAGTAACGCTAAACATATTTTTGGTGAGGAAAGAGTTAAGAAGCTTCTCAGTTCTCCCTCTGCCATTAGTTTGAGCCAGGAGACAGCTCCCCTGACTTGAATCCTGTATCGGTGTATTGGCTCCACTGAGCAGTAATAGAGGAAAAAGAGGAAGAGAAATGTAGAAATGATCTATAAGTAAGAATGTCTCTATATATAGAAGTTTTCCGTGAAGCACCAGACACTCTTTAAGAATTAATGGCAAATTGGCCCAAAACATGCAATGCTCACAAACGATACTGAGCTTGCTGTTTCTGCTCCAAAGCTGCATTGACGTGTTTTCTTTGGAACTACACAGTCAGTTTTGAAAAAAAATTATCAGTTCCACCACATCCACCACGTATTTGTACTGCTTTTTATTTGTAATCCCGTATTGCTTGTTACTTAACAATTATTGCATGTCATGTATAAAACTTACAAACTTACAAACCTAGCGGTGAAGCTAGTTGATTGAGCTAACTTGGGTGTGGGGAGAAAGTAGATGTTACAGGATATTTGGAGAATAACAAATTACATTCTCATAACACTTAGCCAATGCAGGGATGTAAGACCTGTCTTCCTCCTAAATCCTTCTGCTTAGTTCTCCTGCAGTTGCAATCCTACCTCCACAGAATAAAATAAATGCTGCTTGCCCTTGCTCCATTGCAGGCTAATGGATAGGAAAGTACAGAAAAATGGAAGAAGTTTTTACTCGCTACCCCTCAGTCTCCTCCCTTGCTTACAAAAGCAAGTATGTGAGGACACAGGGGGTACTAAGCTGCATTTTTAGAACTGGAAAACATCTTGTTCCCTGCTGCAAGCAAGAATCTGAGATGGGATAGGGATTCATTCTCGAGTCTGCACTGCAATGAATTCTTGCTGACTTATGACAGCTTGAAATGCTATGAGTATAGCCAGTGAGTACAATGCGACTGGGTTTTGCTTGGTAGAAGGTCCAACACCAGCATTATTACAGCAAGGCGTCATGTGTAGGGAGCTACAAGAACACTGCTTGGTTTGTAATGATAGCTGAAAGGTGACCAGGATATTAGAACCTATAAAGGATGGAAATAGGAGAGAGACCTGGAAATGCGCCAGTGGGTTTACAGAATACTGAAGGCCCATCAGCTATTTGATCACACAAGAAACAATACAGGACTTTGTGCTTCCACTCAAACCTGCTTTGCCGCTGCTGTTGTGAAGGATGCAGTTCTTTATTCTCTTCATTCCACCATGTGGGGGGATGCGGTTTTAACAGTGGACTACTGGTAAGAGATGGTGGAAGTATAAGAGGCAAATTTGTCACTGAAGTGCTGGGCCAGGAAAGTATTAAAAAAGGCAGCTGATGGGATTGTGTATCCATGGTTCCCAGGAACCCCCACTTGGTGGTGTCCTGATGAAGGAACTTGGACAGTGCCATTTGAAAAGTGGTTATTTTCTAGCTGTCTTCACATCCTGATGTGTAGGGTATGATCAAAAAAAGCTTCATCAGTCTTGTATTGTTGACCAATATCAGTTATTTCTGTTACGCTTTTGAAATTCTTAATTGTCCATAACAGAGAGAGGGAATTACATTTTTCCCCTGGTGTTATACAGACATTTCCTCGAGTATATCCAGTGGTTAGCACAAATGGGAGACCTAAATGAGCAGAAGACAGGAGTGAAACGTGACTGACCTTGTGCAGCAGACTACTGTTTGCTTCCATTGCAAATAGTGGGTTTCCTTTCTTTGCTCAAATACAAGCAATCTGAGCTTCTGCGTGTTTGGCAGGATGGCAGCTGAGCTCTGCTCCAGCGATAAGAGTGCAGCCTCTGTTAGCTTCTTGATCGCTGCATTATGCAAGCAGAGTTTTACTGAGCAAAAGGCTTTTAAAGAGGCATTGGGAAGTTTGCATTCATTACAATGCAGTGTAATGTGAATCAGGCTAGCTGAACACAAGTTCCCCCTAGTGAGGGAATCCGTAATAGCTTCTGCTCAAGGAGGCAACTATAAAAAAAAAGGCAACGAAGGTAATGAACTTTGCTATATTACATATGTATGTGCTTCTGTTCGTGTTTGAATTTGTAGGGCATGGAGTTGGTAAAAGAAGCGTGGGAAGTATGATGAATCCATCAGCCAGGTCCTTCCATTCTTTTTTTTTTTTTAATCAGGACTTTTATATCTCTTTCAGTCTTGAAGTTTTGTTTCATGTAGTTGTGTGGTGTGTTTGAATAGTTGGTGCATATGCTCACTGTCTAAAGCAGCGGTTTTCGAAGTCCCATTATCTTAGGCTATTTGGTGTACAGACTTTGCAGGAAAACAAACAGACAAACAAAAACCAACCAAATTTGAAGTTTAGGCTTACAGCAGTTTTCTTACCAAATGGCTTTTTAGGGACAAAATAGGAGCAGTTTTTGATGCTATGGGCTATTTTTTACCTTGTGGTTCAGGGCTATTAATATGACATCTTCCCAAAAAGTCTGTGGGTAGAAAATATGAAGGGATAGTGGTCATCTTAGTGAAGAAAATGGATCTTCTTTTTCTAGTTTTCCCAGAAACTTTACACATAACTGTGGACAATTCAGTTCTATTCTTCCTGCTAATGTTTCTCTAAAAGAGGTAAACTAGAGGCTACATCAGGGTGTTCTGATACAACAGTTAAGGATGCCATATGTGCAAATCTGTGTACACAGATGTTGGTCCTTTCAGTACTGTGAATCAAAATTCCTTCTCTTATGTGACTTTCATTATGAAATAACAGATTATTGCTACTCTCTACAGACTGGAAATGATACTTGGAAAACTGAAAACAACATCAGTAATTCCTTACCCCTGTTGCCCACAAAGTCAGTTTGGTTGCAAATACAAAGTCATTATCTGGCAATAATAGTCACCTGGATCTAGAAATCTTCTCAAACATTTCTTTTTCTAAACCATTAACTGTATTCAGATGGGTTTGTTATTAGCCAGAGATGGTGGACTTTAAGGTTGAACATACAGGGGAAAAAGCAGTCATAGAGAGGAAATACTCAGAAAAGCCATTCTCATATGTACAGGGCTTGCACAGATAGATAATCTAAGGAACACAGAGGAAATTGACAGGATCTCAGTGGTATTAAAGAAATACAAACCAGAACAACAGCAGCACCTCTTCTTTGTGTTCTGCACTCACTGCTAAGTGTTCAGATGACTTTCATCCACAAATGCTCATGCTTAGTCTTGAGTGGCGTCTCATGACCATTTGGGGAATTTCGTGCAGGAGACTGTTTAAAGGAAAGAGAAGCACAAGTACAAGATGCAGCTTGCCTTTAAAATGAGCATTTGAAGCTGAGTACGGTAAATGCAGCACTGTCCCTGCTTTGCACATAATTGCAGAGCTGCTCTGCAGAAGTGCGGAGGGGTTTATCCCTTCTCTGTGCACAGATCAGCTGTACTGGTAGTGGCCACCAAGGTGTGTGAAGAACCTTGTTAGTGAGTTAATGCTCCCTGTTATGGCACTCCCTGGTAATGCCAAGTCTGTACTGCAGCTTTGGGAAATGCCGCTTGGTGCTGGGTGTTTTCCCAGCAACTGCTGCCAGCGTCCGGGCCAGCGACGCAGAGCACCCTTCCCTCATGCACAGACCCATGAGCCAGATCTGTTACCTTTAACCAGATTATTTAATTCTCAGCAGTGCATGGTAGAGCAATTCTCTGTTTCTTTCAAAGAGAAGAAACATGAGAGCAGTCTACAAGCCACACTGGACATTTAATATGTTAGAAACAAAGGTGAAGTTTTTCTCCTACAGCCCCAGAATGAGGGGTCCTAATGAATTACAAGAAGATATACAGCCAATTCAGTTCTAAAGGTTTTTTGTAGCCCAATTCTTGCAACAGAATTTATCTTCTGAAAGTAGAATGGCTCTCAACTAGTGCAGATTGTCAATCTGAACTACTTAAGAGTTATGTAAACTTAAGCACGTTGCTTTAAAATTGTCAGTCTTACGTATTTTGAAGTGATTATTTGATAATTCTAAAAAATCCATTACATTTCCTTTGAGAAACATGTTTTAAAAAACTCATCATCCGTTACCAAACTGTATTCCTGGATGCATGCACATTCTGAATGGCTAACATTATGTCAGTGTGATGTTGCAACTTAATTATACATTTATTGGCAGTAGCATTCATAACCTTGTTTTCTGTATAAGAAAAGCAACATTTTGAGGAAGTATTTTCTTCAGCCTTCCAGAAGTTAACAGCCAGAGCTGACAGAAAGGTGGTGTGCAGAACTCAGGAGTGGCCTGGGAGATGTGGTGCCTCTTCAAATACAGTTTTTAAGTCTACATATAATCAGCTTCAGGCCAGTCCTTCAAAAAAGAGGAATCTCTTATTTAATGATTCTAATTATTTCCTTTAACTCTTTTTGAAGCTTTATTAGTTTTATTTAATCCTAAATGTTTTTTGTGTACAAAGCTTCTGGGAAGGCCACTGAGATGATTGCTTGTGGGAGCCCTCTGATGCTGGTGACAAAAAGGCCTAATCTCCCACTTCACAGCAAAATGCACAACTCCTATAGCACGTTGATAGGTTTTGTTGCTGTTTGCTTTTCCACTTGTTTGCAGAGGAAGTTGTGGGTGAATCTGTAACACCTTCCTACCACCTTGTTATTTACAGGGACATGGCTGAAGAGTAGTTTGGGCCTTGTACAAGAAGAAGGAAATCAGTTGACTTGGACTTATATTGCACCTCAGCTGGGCTACTGGGTTGCAGCTATGTCACCTACTACCCCAGGTAAGATGGAGTTGAATTTTATTGATATTCCCAGCATTGAGTAATTATTCATTTATATATAACGTTTATATTTTTCAGAATTACCTCATCTGAGATGCCAGAGCTTGATCAATAATGGATTATTAGCAAACAGAAATCTGAAAGTAAAGGGCTAAAATCTTTTGGGGATTGTGGGGGGCAACCCTTGTGCTCAAAACTTTGAGTCATTTCAATGGGAATTTTTTTTAAGTATACCTGATTTGATGCATTTCTGTCACCACTGCCTGGTAGAGCCATTGCTAGAAAGTGAGGGAAGTTGTAACATCAATGCATTGGTGTCCCAGCAGGTGGAAAAAGTTTCTGTACAGAAACTGTGGAAAAAGTTTCTGTACAGAAACTCTCAAAGAAAAGAATTCATCTAAGACATCATCCTAGGTTAGACTTTTACCAATGGATTGACTGATTGATTGATTGTATCTTTGTTTTTCTTTTACACTGAAGATGCCTGTTTTCCCTGACTTACGCTTTGCATCATCTTGGCGACTAATTAATTTACACCATTAATAACTTAGCATAGAAATTTTATGAAGTGTATTAGCAGAGTGGCATCGGTAGATGAGTTGACAGGTTGCCATCTGCAAGCCTCTTGGCATAACTGTAGAAAATCACATTGATCTAGGCATTATATGTACTTCTGTGCCTATAGAGATGATTACTGCTTGCTCTTCCTTTTCTCTGTCTGTGGCTGCCTCAGATTTCTTAGTATTAGTTCTTCAGCCACCAATAATCAGAGATACCTCTGTGCATAAAAGAACCAATTGATCGAACAAAAAGCTCCTCTCACAGATTTTCGTTATTAGGTTTTCTGGATGAGAACCAAATACAGCAGAAATGAAAACATTCTTGCTTTGGCAGTGCAAGCTAAATAAACTATATCTAACCAACAAAACAAACTCCAACATGAGGACTGTTTTTAAAGTCTGCTTCTATATGCCATGAAGTTGGTTCATGACATGCAGAGCATTTGGAGGTTTTTGCTGTGTTATTCCTTATGCAAGCTTTTTATTTGAGGTTATATTAAATGAAACTGCTGGACTATTCAGCTGATTCATTGCTGAACAGTTTAGAGGCAGGTGCGGATTTGAATAACCCATCATATTGAATTTAATGGAATTTTACAAAATAATTGCACTTTAAGAAAAAAGCAGCTGCTGTGAGCCAAACATCTCCCAGTACTGCTCTGTCTCAGACTGCAAGGAGGTTACATTAGCCATGAAATTTGGCCTGTAACTCTTGAGTTTAGGAGGCCTGAAACTCTTAAGAGGAAAAGGCTTATCTGTCCTTGCACTTTACCTGGTATGGCAGAATTTCTACTTGTATTTTACTTGTCGTTCTTTCTGAGAGCTATATCTGGGTTCCTAAAACTTTATAGAATGGGAACAAAATTTTCTGGAAAAATTCAAGTGATTTCTCTCTTCTTTTTGCTTAATGTCCTGAAGCAACAGTATCAATTATGTAAAGGTAGTGGTAGGACAGAATGTATGAATATTTAGATTTCCCAAATGCAACATGCTTGATATTATTTTTAATCAAGTTAATATATTTTTACTTACTTTGTCTCCTTGTTGAATCAATTAGATTTCTTATTTCAAAAAAATAACAAAAATGAACTTTGTATTCCTAGCAGTGGCTCTGCAGACCACTCAAGATCCACAGATGAGGTTTTACAGACCTCATGATCTAGAACCTTAACGTTGGCCAAGTTTGCTGTTCTTCACAGTATGTGCATGTTACTCTGTCAGCTGGTGCTGTACCTCCTCACCTGCAGATAAAAATTTGGGCCTTTATTTCAAAATCCTGATAAGGATTTTACAAACCAACAGGGTTACACGTGCATAATTGTGAACAGATGCTGTCCGTGTGTGTGTTGCTTTGTATGTCAGAACATTTACCAAGCACTGTTGAAACCCGGAGTTAGAACACTGTTGCACTGGTGGCCTGTTTTTTAAAGCTACTGAAGATGCATGTTTGGCTTGGCTTGACTTAAGAGCACCAACGCATCTTCCAATAAATCCTGTGCTGCACTGTGTGTGCTATTTAGTGCAAAGCACCACAAATGTTGAAGAGGGGTTGCTGGCCACAGGGCTGCTACGTGCATTATAGTGCCGACAGGTGCTGTGATGGCTTTTCTCCAGCAACCAGAGCTTTGCTGCACTGTGTTGGCATCGGCACCTGAAGGCAGCATTCACTGATGCATGCTCCCATTGAAACGAACTGCTTTTCTACAGAATGGTCTGTTTGGACTTGTGGTCATGAAAACCAGCACATGCTTTCTCCACAACGTGCTCTCTTCTCCAGAGATGGTCTGCTCAGTAGACACCAGGGCTGTGTGGCCATGTTGCTCACTTAGCACCCTGACAACAGAGGAAGATGTCCCTCCCTCATTTAAGTGTTGTTCCTCTCCCTGTGTGCAGGTGTTACAGGTCTAAATTCTCTTTTCTGGCCTTCCAGGTCCCGTTGTAACACACGACATTACCAGCTATCACACAATGTTTCTTTTGGCCATTTTAGGAGGGATGGCTCTCATACTTCTAGTCTTGCTGTGTCTGCTTTTGTATTATTGCAGGTAAGATTCACTATCCTGGTTACTTAATTCACATTGAAAAGACAAGGTTTTTTGTGCTTATGAAATTCAGGGCTTTTGTATTGATATATTTTTACTTTAGGAGCTGGGGTGGGGGGGGAGCACACACAGCTGTACCTGTGTTTCCCTTGTAAGATGTTCTAAAGCCTCCTATCATACATGGGCATAGGCCTAAATACCTGTCACTATAGCTATTCTGCACTTGCAAGCAATCTTTTTCTTAGTCTTATATTAAAATGAATATATTAAAACTTCTATCAGCCACTGTATATTAATGAGTGATTTTGTATTTACCTCCTCTAGTCATTGGCTCAAATTTGTAATTGGTGCTTGAGATACTTCCCAATTGACATTAGTTTTTCTTTATCTTCACTTCTGGGATAAGCTTTTAATTGTTAGGTTATGTAATAAAAGCTCAATTCCCCTAATATTAATCACTGCTTAAAAATCTCCCATTAAAACACACTTGCTGCTCTTGTTTCCGTGTACAGTAGTCACAAATATGTAACTTCTTTTGTTACTGGCTTTTATAGAAGAAAATGTTTAAGACCACGTCAGCATCATAAGAAACTGCAACTCTCAACAGCTCTGGATGCTTCTAAGAAGGATCAAGCAACCTCTATGTCCCATATAAATTTAATATTTTCACGTCGTGAGTCAGAATTTCCTGGTGGGCTGTGTGTTGCTAGCAATGGACACACTGAAAACTCAGGTGCAAAGGAATTAATCAGTGCTGTCCACATGGAGATGGTATCACCTAGCGGAGAAGCAGATATGCATACACCTATGCTCAAACACTCATTCAGTACTTCCCAGGAGTTCAGCTCCCAGGAGGAACTGCTCTCTGACAAGGAGAGAGACAAGAGCAGAATTTCCTTGGATGACCTGACTCCAAGTGGGTCACTAAGACAAGACTACCACAAATCAGCAGATAGTTTTCCTTTAAAGCCAAGAAAATCTACAGAAACAGCTGAAGGCTATGAGTCCCCTGTCAAAGATGAGTATAGGAGAAGTTACAATGCTATGCTGTCTCAGCCTTTATTTGAAAAGCAAGAGAGAGAAATTCAAGTATCTATGAACCATATTGCTACTGGAAGTAAATACAATATTCAGGAACAAATATACCCCACACCTTCAGCCCCTGAAAAAGAGCTGCTGGACTGCAGACCTGCAGATTGTATGATGTCTCGTTCAGTTGATCACCTCGAAAGACCTACGTCTTTCCCTCGACCAGGTCAGTTAATCTGCTGCAATTCTGTTGACCAAGTCAATGACAGTGTTTACAGAAAAGTTTTGCCTGCATTGGTCATCCCAGGTCATTACATGAAATTGCCAGGAGAGCATCCTTTTGTTAGCCAGCCACTGGTTGTCCCAGCTGACCAGCAGATTGATATAGAAAGACTTCAGGCTGAGCTTCCTAACCCTCATGCGCGGCTTTTTCCACATCCTCCCCAACAGCTGCAACCTCAGCAGTTGGCATCCCAAGCAATATCTCAGCAACATTTGCAAGATGCAGGTGCAGCTGAGTGGAGTCAACAAAATGCTTCCATGTCTGAATCGATTTCCATTCCTGCCTCACTTAACGATGCGTCCCTGGCTCAAATGAATAGCGATGTGCAGCTTCTTACAGAAAAGGCGTTGATGGAATTGGGAGGTGGAAAGCCATTGCCTCATCCTCGAGCATGGTTTGTTTCTCTAGATGGACGTTCAAACGCTCATGTTAGACATTCGTACATCGATCTCCAAAGAGCTGGTAGGAATGGGAGTAATGATGCCAGTTTGGACTCTGGTGTTGACATGAATGAACCAAAATCTGCCCGAAAGGGAAGAGATCATCTGTCTGCATCACAGAGTCACCCACCAGTGCAAGAGCACCAGCAGAGGGAGCGGAAGGTTTCAGATAGCACAGCTTACACGCAACTTGTGTACTTGGATGATATGGACCAAAGCGGCAGCGAGTGTGGAACAGCAGTTTGTAGCCCCGAGGACAATGCTCTACGATGCCTCCTAGAAGGCACAAGTAAGAGGAGTGGTGTGCAGCTGCCCAGCCTGCAGGAGGAAACGAGAACTGTGGACACCAAACCAGAGCCATTAACTAGTCCTGAACATGGAACATCAGTTCAAGATGATGAGGAGGATGAGGAAGATGACCAAGGTGAAGATAAGAAGAGTCCTTGGCAGAAACGTGAGGAAAGACCACTAATGACTTTCAATCTAAAGTGAGCTATTGTGAAAATCCACCCTTCAGTGGAGTATAAAATTGCCAAATATTCTTTCTGTGGAAGTGCTTGATTTTTTTGTTTCTTTTGGTTTTTTTTGTTGTGGAGAGAAAAGAGAAAAACAAACTGTGGTGAGCAACATTTGAAAGAACTTAAATGCATTACTGTGTAAATGTTAGAAAAGAATTAAAATCATTCCTCTGATTTAACAGCTGCCTCCAGTGAGACAGCTGAACAAAGAGTGTGATTGTTATTCCATATACTTGATATTGGTCATCCAGGATGTTGAAAATACTGACAAATTGTTTTGGTTGGTTTATGACCTCAATCTCCTTATGAATGGGAGCTGGTAAAGCTTTTGTTTTGTAGGCCAATTTTATGTTGATAATGCTACTGAAAGTATCTTAAAAACAGGAGTTTGACACATGGTGTCCAAAATTGTGCATTATCTCAACAAAGGCTATGCATTGCTGCTTTTAGTAATATTTTGCTATACTATGCTTTTCTTAATTTTACAAGTTGGTTGTAAACACTTTATGTCCTTTATTATAAACTACTCAGCAATTTATTTTAATGTAAAACTGCAGGAAACTTGAGTAGCATCCCTTAGCATTGAAGCCTTTTTATGAAACCAAACTGAACTTTGCGTCAACTAAGATTCCTCCAATTCTGGTCCCATTTACTCAAAGTGCCTTTTTTACAGTAACAATGAACAGTCCCTTCTTTTGCTAACTCCTTTTAATTGACCCCATTTGGGATTTTATAAACTTCTGAACTTCTACCTTTTATTTTAAGCTGCATGCCAAGAGTCCCATTTTGTGCTGAGCATTTCTCATTTCCATACAGTGTATTCTGTAGCTATCATGTATATTGTGGATTCTGTTTAGCCAGGGTAGACTTAGAATACATTTAAAAGGGCCCAGAAGATAGTTTCATTGACTGTATATATTGTTGGTTTCCTCTGGAATCATATGAGCTAATCATGCTCATATAAAATGGACTATAGACCGAGCACGTGGACTGAATGTGTCTAGAAAAATTTTGAAAAAAAAGAAAAATGTACTATCCAAAAGTGCCAGAATGACTCTTCTGTGCTTTCTCCATACAGAGCTGCTTGGTTATCCAAAAATTATAATTGAAAATAAACTGCAAAAGTTACCTTTGTGGATTTTTCCTCTGTTGGTGGTCATCACATTGTTTTATATTATTTAATAAGAAAAATACTTTGGTTTTGCTTTTGCTGTGCATATTTATGCTTGTGTGAGTTACTAACACGCTTTCTTATGCAGTTCTTGTGAACTTCAGTCAGTACTGAAATTCAGACCTCTTTTCAGAAAAGCGTCCTCCCTGTATTGATAAATAAGTAATTATTTGCTTAAGTATCACTGAAGACTTTGGAATTGAAAAGCTGGTATCACCAAAATTCTCTCTGGAGTCATGCTTCCTGTGGGACTGGTTTTCTTTCTGAGACTTCTGTGGCTGCTCACAGTCACTGCACACTTCTGACTTCTTCATGAATTGGGTTCAAAGAAGGGAAAGTATGTGACTGCCACTCTTGTGCAATCCTTCCTATACATTCAGTTTATTTTGTTTCATTCAATTATTTTTATGCAGCATAAGCAGCAGTCATGCCTAATAAAGTTAATAATTATGTCATCTCTAAAGTGATTAGAGAAAGTGTTCCATGGTTCCTATTTAATTTTTAATAGTAAGCCCTGACTCGGATTCATTGCTCTTTCTGTGCAGTCGATTTCAAGATTTTCTGAGGAGGTCAGTGTTGTAATTTGCGTCTTACTGAATGTCTTACATGGGAGTCTGGGCTCGAGCCAGGGAGTGAATCCCAATTTCCTAGTTCCCAGTTCTCCTGTCCTCATCTACAAAGCCACATTGCCTCGGTTTTGCTTTGATTGATGCTTGAAAGTGGTATGTGTCTTAAAAGAAATCTAAACTAATATTTGTGGAGTGCATTGAATATTGAAATCGCCATACTAACAGTAACTTATGTTTTAGTTATCACGTGCGTTCCGGGTCCTTTCCTGTTCTGTTTAGGTGTTTTGCCACTGACCACATGTGAACTGGCTCTGGGGTCTGGGTTCCTTTTTGTCAGTCTGTGCAAGGTTGCTGAACAGAAAACTACTACTTTAAAGGAATGGTATTTGTCAGATGTCAGTAAGTGCTGGTAATACAGTGTAACTTAATAATCAGAATGCTGCCACAAGTAAACATTTTGGTTAAAATTTCCAAGTACTAGCATTATTGTACTATTTCATTTTCAACTTCCGTTGTCTTAAATCTGTCATTTTTCATTACAGTCCTTTTCCTTTGCAAAGTTTCCATTATTATGATCTTGTAAAGTGAGATTGTTGCTATTAAATTGCAGTGGTTTGTTTCTTTAATTGTGTTGGTTGTGTGTTCAAAACATACAGTTTGATGATTTGATAATTTGTGGTCCTAGTACAGCAAATATATTTGAACAAACACAGTGTGGGTATTTTGCAAATCTTCTTTCAAATAGCATTTTAAAAAATTGCTGTGAAATTGCTGTTAAAATTGCCATATAATAGTTTGATTTTGCAGAATATATAGTTTATGAAGTGTAATTCTCAGTATACCCAACACATCTGAGCCACGTGTTAAATGAAACTGAAGCAGAGTAACACAGGTCAGATTATTATGGTTTGAGATTAGAGTGTGTCCATTGTAGACTCCTTGCTAATCTTACAGTCTAGTGACAAGTTTTGTGTTTTAACTGTCAGAACCATATTGAGGAATATGCTTCAGTAAAATATGAAGAAATTTTGTTGCTTACATTTTGCAGTTGCACAGTGAAGCAAGTACCAATAAAGCTTATATAACATAGAGAACAAAGTATAACTTGAATAGGTCTTGGCATCAGCAGCTCCAAGTGATCTTAGTCCATGTAAAAGGTAACCTAGGGAAGCAGTTGTTTTCTTATTTTTGATGGCAAGCAGTAACAGGGAAAAATACAGAAGATTGTCATGACAGAGCTTACAAAAGTAATGAAAATGTGTTGGACTTTAAAAAACACTAGGAACAGTTATTCAATTTATCTATCAGCAATTAGGATTTTCAAATGGATATTGAGTGAAAGAATTAAGATAATTTTTAAATCTTAGGTTCTATTATCCAAAGTCCATTTATATCATAGAGCCTATGAAATGTTACGACTGTTGAAAGTTAATACACTCATTAAGAGTCTATTCACTTCATGGTTGTCCCCCAGTTTTTTTTGCTGAAATACTTGCTTCTCAAAGCTTATTAAACTGTCTGTAAAGCACCTTGACTTACTGTGATAATCACCTTTTATTAGTTGATTAAGTGCTTTGTCAGGGTACCAGCATGCTAAACCCTCTACAAACACAGGGGAAAAAATGGTTCCTGCCTGAGATCATTTGCAATCTGACACACTACACAGAGACAAAATCGGGGTACTGAGCTTAGATGAACAGCTTGCAAAGAAACGCCACCATTTGGAAACTGTTTATGATGCTTTTCTTTCCTACCAGAAGGACTGAGTAGCTTCAGTAGAGTGAATTAAGCACTCTTGAAATGCCTTGGCACTATTTTAATTATCTGCCCTTCATTCTATCCATGAATGCTCTGGAGGACCAATTCTACTTCAGTATCCAAAACCCACATGGTTGAAACTGGCAAGAAATTACGTATCTCATGTAGAGTTTGGCCTGTAGAATAGTACAGATGTAAATGAGCGAGTGTTGGATTAAATATTTGCTCTTTCTCTAGGAAAGATAATTTTTCTTAACCAAGAATTTTTCTTAACCAAGGATTAAGATTTTTCTTAATCTTAACCTTTCTTAATTAAGGTTAAGAATTTTTCCTAACCAAGGAGATTTCATCTGAGGATTAAAGCTTGTTATAGCACAGTACCTCTTAAACCATCAGTAGGCTGTAACCTGGAGCATGGGACATGGTAGCATCCATCCAGTACATCCTTGGACATGCTCAAACGAGAGGAATGCCAGTTTGTTTTTCTAAAATGTATGGGTAAGGGTAAGGGTTTTTTTAAATCAGTGCTGCTTTTTGGGTCTCTAGCATTTGACAGTCTGAAAGTTGGAATATCTGCCACCTGGTGGTGAGCTGTTTCTCCATACATACTGGGTATAAAAGAGAGTTTATACTCTCAATATAAGCCCAGTCTATAACTTCAGTAACAAGATCAGCTGTTATTTCCTGAACCTGCTGGCAGTCCCATGCGCAGGGATCCCTGTCAGCTTGAGAGACCTTGCCCAGCACCTTGGCTGCAGCAGTATTCAGCTTCTGAAATCTCCATTCAAATCAAAATGTGTAGAATGTGCAAGTGTAAATGTGTCTGTTTTCTCTCAGCTCGTGAATAGCATCTCCAGTCTTTCAAAAAGGGCAAGAAGGAGGACCCGGGT